TGTGGCATGAGCTTAGCAACCGTCCAAACTCGTTGCATACTGCTTTTCAAGACATAGACATCTCCCAGACTTGTGATTGAACATTCAGTGTCAGTTTCTACAGCACTAAGGAGTATCTCAGAAATTCGAGACTTTCAGGACACTTTTATCAGCCAAACTTTAAGCAATAGTAAGTATCTCCAATTGATATTGCAGAGTTGGAGATGGTGCTATTGTCGGCGCTTCAGCCTATGCTGACGATGATGTTGGCGCCTGTGGGGCTACTGGTGATGGAGATGTTATGATGCGTTTTCTACCCTGGTACCTCTCCACCACAATCTTTGACTTTACAACAATCCATGTTATTTATGTTTCAGGCTTGATACCCACTTCCATTTGCATTTGATGTTGCACCTCACATGTAGCTTTCCTTGTATTGAGCTCTGGTTGCAATTTTTGTTGGAGTGCACGAGTGGTTTACTAACAAAAACCAGGTTTTTTGTGCCACAGTTATCAGGTGGTGGAGAGCATGCGCCAAGGTATGACTCCAGAAGAAGCTGCAAAAGATTCAATTGCTAGAATACGCCGTAAATTCCCAGCATTTATAGGAGCTGTCTTTGCCATGAACAAGTATGGTGTGCACGCTGGTGCTTGCCATGGGTGGATATTTCAGTACACAGTGCAAGATTCAGCCATGGCTGATGCAGTAGTATTCACTGTTAAGCCTGACGTCCTCTGAATACGTCGGATCTATTGAACATCGTATCATCTCTTGATGTTTGAATCCCATTCTCCTACCTTGCTCCTTTAATAGACTTGTTTTTCTTTCCGCTTCCCTTGGACTAAAGAAGATTCTTTTACTGATAGAGCCTTTATCATTCAATTCTTTCAATGTTGAAATGTTCCCAAACATTCCAATTGTTGAATACACAAATGTGTTTTACTTCAATGATGAGTTATTTTTAATGGGTAATGACAAAACATAAGTGGAAACCTGTGTAGTTGAGCATAAATTTATTACTCTGAAATGTGAAGTTAAGTTAAACATATACATGTGCAATTGAGCCTACAAATGTATAAATGTCTTTTTATTCCAAGATAAGAATTAATATCACAATTATTTTTAGTGAGCAAAAACTTGTGTCTTTGGTGGGTTAGAAGGCTTTGAACTAATGGTTGATTGTGTTGTGAGGACAAAGAAATTGGACCAATGTGAAGAAGTATCACAGTTAATGAACAATTTGTATCTTCATTAAGATGCTTCATTGTCAACATGTACATCCTCTTTCAAAATTTGTGTTTCTTTTGAGTCTAAATTCTCAAATATTTGCTCTGAAGACCATTGGTGCAATAAAAATTTGATATGGGATGAACTTTCATATCAAAATAAAAAAAAAAAGGGGGCGAGTTCTCTGCAATACACTTGTCTAATAGGACCAAAAGAATGAACTTAAGTCTCTCTTTGTATTCATTCATATGTATGTATGTATATATATATATATATATATGTATATTTCCTTTTTCTTTTTTATAAGAAACTCTCATGCATATATGTATGATTTCAGGCTTGTTTTAAAAAAATAAATAAATAAGAATTAGAGGTATATATATATATATATATATATTTAAATTCATTAACTAAATGATATGTCAAATGTAAAGATAATTTACTTCAGTTATTTTTACATGTGATGCATTGCAATAAAAAATTTAAAATATTCACTAATGTGTTTTTTTTTTATTATTATTTCTATATTAAAAAAGAAGAATTACATGTATTAAAATGTATCATCAATAATTATTTCTATATTAATGTAATTTGAAATGTTTTTATGATGAAAATGATAAACAAGTTCTTACACGTGATAGTTTGTTAAAATATTATAAATGTAAATCAAAAAAATATTTATAAAATATATCATAAATCAAAAGATTAACAGGTCCTTACATTTGGAGAAGAAGAGAGTCCACTACTTTTAAAGCTTGTAATTAGTTACAATCAGCAAGCATCACTTGGTTGACTTTATACTAAGAAAAGTCAATTAATAAACATGAGAGGAAAAAATGTGATGACATAAATTTTTCCTACATAGCATAAATAGTAATAGTGTTGTCTCCTAGAATTTATAGCAGACTCATCTCAAAGTCAAAGATGTAATTTTTACAAAAATTCAAGAAGTTGTATTAAAAATAACTAAAATTACCTGTTTTTTTTTTATGTTTGATATAACGGATTGAATCAAGATAATATAAAGTGAGAAGAGAATTTTTTTTCTTTACCAATTTACTAAGCTTTGTACAGCTTTCGTATCATGTCTTTTTCCAAAGTGGGCTTATAAGTTTAAAGAATCCTTTAACACATACCAGTCATTAAAACTAAAACGCATGATTCTCTATATACAAAATTCAAAAAACGTCAAAAACAAAAGGTCCATTACATTACATGTTGGGAGTACTTTTGGCAGTGGTGGTTAGACTTTGGCATTCTCCTTCAGACTACACTAGAAATGGCAGCTGAGCTCACAACTTAGAGTTGGCTTCGGCAATGAATTTGCTGGTGCAGTCGTTGCTGGCTAGTCATGGCTAGTCATGCGTGCGTGTGAGTTCTTCCACAGGCAGTTGTCGGTAGATTGAAATATCGCCGGCGTAGGAAAAAATCGAAAGATCGCAAGTGATGGTTTAACTCACACTTGTCCGTCTCTTGCGTGGAATCTTCCTCCGATGGACCCCTCTTCAACACCCTGTTGGACCCACATTCTGGCACGGACTTGTGCTGCTCAAGATGTCTAAGTGTATAAAAGATTTAACTGAATGGTATCCTTCAATATAGATGCTCAATAATAAAGATCGAATTCATGAGAATACTCACAACTTATCGGCGTAAATGCCTTCCCAACATCGGGCTATTCAGAAGTGGACTCACACTTGTCAAAAGTTTCGTCGAATTGTTCCAGGCTAGATTCTCCTCTGGTTTCATACTACTGGTTCTCGCAAACTGCATACTCATCCTTAGTATGTCTATCTTCGGTTTTCTCTAACTTCTGCAGGTAGTGACTCTAATGAACTACGTTTTATATCTTTCAAAATTAAAGCTGATGGCGATGGTGGAGAAAAAGTGGTATTACTGTTCATGATTGTATGGTAATGATTTACGAGATGTGATCCAACGACATTGTTATCGACCTGGTCTGTTTTAATCTCCCCTATTCGCGCTTGAATCAGTCCATCTTTAGCAGTTTCTCCCTCTCCAGTGTCCGAACAAAGAGCCTTGAATATGCCTTAACGTAGAATTCAGGTGAGCAAGTTCGCACGTAGGATGGAAGGCTCAAAACAACATTCAGCACGTCTTCATTTTGATCTACGATGGTGCACACTTACTGCAGAAGGGGTAGAAGTGTCCGAAATGGTGGTTGCAGAGGACTCATTTCTAACACCCAACTGCTAGGTGGGTTAGGAGATTCACGATGAGTACTGTCCAGACTAGTTACAGGTCTTCAGAATTCAGAGGATCTCAAGGACTGGAAAGTGTTTTTTAGTTCCCACCATCTTGTTGCCCCTCCCTCCTTTGACTTTCAAGGTCAAATCTAGCTCGAGCTGCTCGGCTTCATTTGCAGACACTGGGAATTCATCATGCGGCACTTCACCGTAGGCTGAAGGTGCCACTGATATTGCTTCAATTCGGGCCCTGACTCTCCGGGTAGCCACGCGCATCCCTTGTAAGTGCACACTTTTTTGGTTCGAATCGTAGAACTCTTGTCCAAGGTTATCCGTTCAAAGTTCTATATTCGCATGTAATTGATTTGAGTTATCACATTGCCCATCCTTCTGCCACAGGAAACAGGGTTCCACATTACGTGCTGAGGCTACTTCCCAATGGCGATTTTTGTTGCTAATGTTTTCACGACTTACACTTCTTGTTCGTTCTTTAGATTCCTCCCCTCCAGCTTCGGGAAATCCAATGCCAAGGCTTATGGTATGTCTGCCGAAAGGATTATCTTCCGATGCATTCAAAGATAATGGAAATACCATTTGAGTGGGACCATCGACTCTGACAGTCGAAGAAAAAGGAAGGCCACCATTCTTGGCAATGGCTGGAAAACATGGTGCTGATAAACTCAAATTTTCAAGCAGGCAAATTGAGAGAGAAAGGAGGCTGAGGGAGCCGCCTTTCAACACAGTGTTCACGGCCGCCTGACAAACATGCCAATTTCCGCTCCAGAGAAGACCCACTGCAACGAACATTGGATTCATCGTTCGTCCACAGGCCTCAAACAGTAAAGATTGGAACAATACTGCACATCGAGAAAAAGATAAAAATAAACATAAAAATATTGCTTTTTTAGAATAAACTCGTGAAGACAAGAACAATGAAGCTGATCAGCTGTTTGGCTTTCAAAAGCATATAATGGAGTGGCGAATAGTAAAATATGTATACACCATTAGTTGATGTTCCGGCATGGCGCTGATGAAGCCCATAAGCCCAGCACGGCCAAAGAATTTGGCGACGAACACAGTGGCATACCCTTTAGCTTCCATGTTCTCGATCCATTGCAGGCAAGGACGTAGAATACAAGTCTCGCTGCAACCTTTGCGCAGCACACGACAACCGTTGCAACTCATACTGAAAGGCTTCACAAACACCTCTTGTTGATTCTGTCTCTTCTTTAACTTTCAAGCGCTTCTTTTGAGCTTTAAAAAGAAAATACCCGTGGTGCCCAATATACTTGTTCCCTCAAGCTACTAAACAACGTAATAGCCTGTCTCCTCCCTGCATCAAAGCACCAAAGTCGGTTCGATCCAGTTAATAACACATTCATCTACAATAAATAGCAGAGTTCACAATGGCCAAGCACAAGTTTTGATTAGAAGGCTGTATTGTAATTCTCTACAACTTTGAAAGTGATAGATACAGTGTTCACAAACTGATCCTTATAAAGTCAGTTGTAAAACCTTCAGGGACTTCAGATCACTTCGCAAAGTCCTACGTGTTTATAGGATACATAAACTACCGTTCCAGTTAACCAACCGCAACTGAGCTACTTCTTCCATTATACAACATATTGCGACATAAGTACCTTAAACGTACCCCACAACACATGACCTAGTAGTGTATCTTCTCACGTACATTAAGCATCTCAAGCAGGAGAAATAGTATCAATCCAATTAATTAATACTTTAAATTTGCAGATCTCTTAGGAGAGGCATATACTGCATCTGACGATAAAATTCAGATGACAGTCCCAAGTTGGATGGTCAAATGAAATTACTAGTGTACCCAAGCCCAATTGTCCATTGATTTGAGTTTCATGAACTATGTTAATGGACAAAATAGGCAGTGCAGGCTTTTTTATATTAAATAAAAGTTTCATGAAATTAGTATTAGAAAATTGTACTGACACCGATCACCGCTACATATGCCATACTAACTTCAATAGCCTCGAATTAGGGATAATGAAAAGCACGCGGACCTCGAACAGAACCTAATATATGAATAACTCCTTTCCAGCTTCTGAACGACTACTAGCTGATACCAGAAGTAGACCTCTACGTTGGAGTATTGTTGTATTTTATCAGCTGCCAAGAATAACATGTAAGTTCAAAGATAAGGCTGCGCTTATTATTTTATCCTACAGAAAAGCTTGGTTATGGTTAGCACGATGTTATGTTGCTAGAATCCATATAACCAGTGCATATTCTTGAGAACTCTAAAACCCTACAGATTCTTGGACCATATTCAGCTACATGAAGTCATTCACAATGCGTTCGGCCTGTTAATGTCGACGATACCACAGTGAAGTCGCAATGAATCAAACCTCAAATCTAATTGAATCATTATTTTTCTATAGTTAAAAATATAATTTCTTATATATCTTAATATACACTTTAGAAAAAGCTATTTTAATAGGAAAAAAATAATTTATTGGATACTTTTGCATATCGTATATTTAT